CAAGCAGGCTGTCCTGGGAGCTTCCTCCTACCTGCTGTCAGTCTTCACAGAGGCGATGAGGTTAATTTGCATACTCACTCCTGATTGGCTGGTGAGCGTAGCAGAGGGACAGTCAATTTACGTGTTTCTCTTTTATTATATAGGATGGGGGTTAAGAAAACCCTAATTAAAAAAAGGGGGATTACTTAGATCATTTCTATTTTCTTTGTGGTGGTAGGAATATCTATTTCAGCATGACTTTTTTTTTCTTTTGTACTTTTAAGTTGTTTTTAAATGTTTTTAAAAATGGAGAGGAAATCAGACCAACTAGTGCCTGATAAATATCAAATCAAAAAGACTTCTGTCCATGGAGCTTTTCCAAAGAACAGGCAGAGATGCGTGGGGATATTTTGTTTGCTTCACTGTGGCATGTGCACTGCCTTCCCCAGGGTGTAGTAATCAGGGCTGATCAACAGCCAGTGGAGCTCGGAGCCACTTTGTTCAGTTTAATTGACCTATAAGCTACCTCTGATATTTCTTTTATAAGATTCTCTTTTTACTTAGTGTGTATTTATTTAATCTATGTTCATTTAGTGTATCTATAATAAAATCAAAATTGGATTTAAAGAATAAATTTTTAAAAATTAATAAAACTGCCAAACTGGTTTGGCTCGGTGGATAGAGCGTCGGCCTGCGGACTGAAGGGTCCGGGGTTTGATTCTGGTCAAGGGCATGTACATTGGTTGTGGGCACATCCCCAGTGGGGGGTGTGCAGGAGGCAGCTGGTCGATGTTTCTCACTCATCGATGTTTCTAACTCTCTATCCCTCTCCCTTCCTCTCTGTAAAAAATCAATAAAATATATTTAAAAAAATTAATAAAACTAAGAACCACACAATTGGTCCAAGTCAACGAATAAAGCAGGAATTTTATTCGTTTTCATTTATGCTTTCATCTGTTTTTATTAGTTGTAATCTCCACAGTGAAACTATATATCCCATTAAATTTTATCAAAATAGTTCAACTGTTTTTGCTGTTGCTGTTTTTTAACCCAGGTGTCTGACTATAAATAGTTTTCTACTTAAATGCATTATATTTTTAATAAATTTCTAAGAATTATCACACAAGGTGTGAAGTTAGGGAATATCCTCTCCAATACTGTCCTCGCTCATGCCTCCAATGACAAATTTGGGGCTTCCCAAGACCACCCTCAGCCTCAGTATTTTGCTGAAAGGGTTCACAGAACTCACTGAAGACTGTTATACTCATGGTTATGGTTTATTAGGAAAGGAGACAGATTAAAATGAGCCATGGGAGGGATGCATGGGCAGAGTCCAGGAGGGTTCCAACAGTGGAGCGTCCAGGTGTGCTCCCTCCCAGCGGCAATGTGTAACAACATGCATTAAGTATTGCCAAACAGGGAGGGTCACCCGAGCCTTGGCATCCAGATTCTTCACTGGGGTTTGATCACCAAAACCTAGTTGGTTACCCATGTATTTGACCTCAGTCTCCATCTCCTCCAAAGGTTAACTTATACCAGGTGATCCAAAGACCCCACCCCCAGATCACATTGTAGGTGTGGCTAAATCACATTGTTACTATCTGGCTGGCCCAATGCACCTGGGTAAACAAAGACACTTGGAATGGCTGGACGTTCCAAGGGCTTAGAGGTCACCTCTCAGGAGCCAAGGGCAAAGGCCAGACCTTTCTCTGGGTAAGGTTAACTCTATTACACACAAGATCAACACCAAGGTTCACGAATCCAGTGTCTGACTTTGATCAGCACACCATGGCCTGGTTTACTGGGGGACACAACTAGTACTCTCCATGATGTGGAGTGCTGAAGTTGAAAGATGCACAATCTTTGACTTTCCCTTTATTTACTAAACATGAGTTTAGGAAATAAAACAAATAAAATAAAACAAAATGTTACACCCTGGTTGTTGTTTTTTCCCCAGCATGTGATTTAGGTTGGAATTAAAAGTTCTAACATTTTAGAAAAACATGTTTCTTCCTTTTGGTAGTTTTTAAAGTTCCTCTTTTTGCCATGATTGGTGTGTTTCAGTGGTTAGAGCATCAGCCTGAACACCAAAGGGTCTCGGATTCAATTCCTGGTCAAGGGTACATACCTGGGTTACAGGTTCGATCCCCAGCCCTGGTGGGGCTCCTGCAGGAGGCAAACAATCAATGTGTCTCACATTGATGTTTCTCTCTCCCTGCCTCCCTCCCTTTTACTCTACCTAAAAATCAATGGAAAATTTATCCTCAGGATGAGGATTAACAATAAAAAATGTTCCTCTTTGATATTTCAAGAGTTCACACATTCTGACATTTCATCAAGAGGTACTTTTTTTATCTTATTCTTTATGATTCTAGATTTATAACTTTTATAGCTTTAAAATTTCAGGATTTTCTATTCTACTTTTTGTCTTTTTGTAAGCCGCTATCCCTTAGCAGCTGAAAAAAAATATGTTTAAAAGATCTTTATTCTCTTTTAAACTCTGGACATTCCCCATGTTTGTTTTCCTAAGGCACAGACAGTTCCCCATTCTGCAAACATAAACACTTATACTTTTTATCCTACTATTGTCCTACCATTTTAACTTTAAGAATTATTTAGGGTATACTGGTAGTTTAGGGATTTATTATTTGGTGATAGCAAATAGTCTCTCTGTGGCTCCCTGGCCTTGTGAGATCTAAGAATAGTCTAGGGAGCACTACTTTTGAGGAGCCAGAACAAATTAAGCTCTTACCATAAAGTAAGCTCCATACACACAGGGATTTTTTTTTTTTCACTTTTACATGTGTAGCCCCAGGGCCTATTGCTCTACTGACACATACAGACAATACATATTTGCTGTGTCAATAAACTGCTTTCAAAAAGTTAAAAGCCTAACCTTTGCAAAAATCTAAAGCAAGCATGTATCAAAGATTTATTGAATTCATTAATGAGAGAAACCAGCAATGTGGTAAAATCAGTTCTAAGGCAGGCCCTGAAAGAACGCTGGCATAAGACTGCTAGGTTAGATTTTAAAAATGGCTGCTATCATCCAGGACAACAAAATTGTTACTATGGGCTTATCTTTTCTACTGCACAAAAATCATTTCCATTTCTACGTAGACAATCCGTGTGCATAGCTATAGGACCAGGAAAGCCTTTGTGTAACGTGAAGCTGTGAGAACCATTGCCTCAGTGGGTCCCAGTGTCGACAATCACCCTGCTTCCTTTGAACTTTTGCCTAGTTGTTGCCCATTCTGGGTCCCCCTCCTCAATATGTGTGTTCAAGCGATAGGCCTCATGATGACTTCCCAGTTTCCTCTCCCCTCCCTTCTGTTTGACCCAGCTACATTTAAATTACCCAGTGACAGTGCTTCCCGAGTGCCACAAGCTCCCCTACCCATGAACCTCAATAAAGGTACACGGCCCTTGCTCTGCAATTTCCCTGCCTGCAACGACCAAAATTTGGGCTTTGGGTGAAGGTTTGCTTACTTATATGTCTGGTGCCTGTGCTGGGACGCTGGCCAGGGAATCCACATGTGGCCTCTCTCTATGGTATAGTGGACTCAGGCTCCAGGCACAAGGATTCCATCAAGTGAGGCAGAAACAGCATCACCTTTGATGACAACCTCAAAAGGCACACAGCATTTCTTTCACATACTCTGTTGGTCAAAGTGGTCAGAAACCCACCTAGATTCAAGGAGAGAGAGAGCATAGACCTACCATTTGGTCGGAAGGTGGCAGGGTCATTTCATGGAGAGGGATGTGGGCTAGGAGACATTGTTGTGCCATCTTTGGGAGATAGAATTTGCCACATTAGACTATATAATGAAATATGTTTTATAGTTGTCAAGATTATTTTCTTGCAGATGAGCTATTGTTACTGCCCTGCATTGAGCAAGTCAGATGCAATTTTCTTTGTGATGCCTTTTCTTTTATCTTTTTCCTAATGTTGCATTTTCTTAGTTTGGGTCCATTACCTCACTGATAAAGCTTTTTAAATATTTAAGCTATTCCCAGTTTCTAAATCGTTTTCTCAGGTGCCCATCAATTCCCCGTAAGTGGTTAATTTAAAAGGTTTTTGAAGCATGACTGCATCTGGCACAGGCAAAGCTAAATGTCAACCTTGGAAGCATCCAGTGACATTCAGATGATTCCTTTCCGTATAAGGAACTCGTTTTTCTATCATGTAGCTTATCTTGTGAAAAGAGGACAGAAACAGTGCCTTTCCCACTCAACATGTTTAGTGTTATGAAACAGCTGGCCCTCCAGAGCATGTGGATTTGTTTCACTCCTAATTTCTCCATCTAGTTGTGCGAAACTGAAGATGAAAATCCCTACTTTAAAGAGTTGTAATAGGGAAATTAAACAAAGAAGCTTCTGACATAGGGCATGGCTCATAGTAAGAGCCAATGGTAGCTAGTAATAAGAACTACCTTTACATTTTCTGTGACCATAAATCCATTCAATGTAATAAATCTTGATCAAGCTCTTTTGGTGGGTGTGCTGGTTTCACTGGACAGGTCAGGGGGAAGTGTCCACACTGGGGATGATCTTTGAAGGAAGTGACTTCCTCCTCTTTACCCTTTGGGCAGTGGCAGCAAAATGTTCACTTGAGAACCATGATGAAGGTAACTTCAGGAGCTTGAGGTTGACAGAGGGCATCCTTTTTAAAAGGTGGTTAGCCTTCATGGATGTTGATTGGGTTGATAAAAGGACAGTAAAAAAAATTGCACTCAAATGAGATGTCCCTTTGCCTGCCCACCGCAGAATACTACTCACCTTATTGTAAAATATATACATAGTTAGTAAGATGTAATAAAACTTTGAAATATATGTTATGTAAAAAGAAAACACAAAAGTAGGATAGAATTTTCTTCCATCCCTTGGGATTTCATTAAAAAACTCTCTCTAATCTCCAATTATTGTAATAGCCATTATAAAGATTAAAACTGTTTACTGCATTGTTTTAAACTGTGAGAAAGGCTTAATTGACTTGAATTTGTTGTCTTTCTGTGTGGCAGGTGGTGAAGTTTACCAAATCCTTTGAATTGCTGTCCCCAAAGTGCAGTGCCGAAGCTGAGAACAGGTAGGGCTTGTGAGTTTCAGGTTTGTCTTTTGATCCTTGTCTTCTGTCCTTGGGGTTGGCAGCATTGCATATATTCCTTGAGGAGAGGAGTTGTTCTTTTTTTAGACCAGCAAGTACAGCCAAATATCATCACTGTTCTGTCTTTCAGGGCTTAAACAAAAACTGTAATTTAAAAATACATGTGTATACATCTCAAGCTGTTAATGAATGGAGTCAATTTTTAGATATTTCCTAACTACACAGACAGACAATTTTTTCTCCTTTATTCTGTCCTTCATTTCTCTTCTTCCTTTTTTGTTTCCTTATATCTGGGTAATAGCATCCCTTGGGGAAAAAGAGTGAGAGTTTCTAGTCATTCACTTTTTTTTTTGTCTCTAATGTATCTTTGAGGCTCTAACAGGCTAAAAGGGAGGGTTGGGAACAATCAGTGACTTTCTGTTAGCTTTGCACTGCCCTGAATAATAGCTGGGCTGCTGTAAAAATGTATTCTCTTTATTCTTGTCATCTCTAGAGGAAAGGCTAAAAATAGTAAAATTGACCAAAATGCAGAAATATGGAGAAAGACAGGTAAAGTGCTCAGGACAGCATGAGGATGATAATGATGAAACTGATACTAATGTTAGCAAGATGAACAGCTTTTATTCTTTGAGTGCTAAGTACAGCAGGTACTAGTCTAATCCCCAAATAATCCTGTGAAGTAGGCATTGTACCCTTGCATGACAGAGGAGAAAACCAAGGCTCAGTGAATATCTACTTGGTTAATATTTCCCAAATCTTGCTCATCAGTCAGAATCAAACTTGGAGAACTTGGTAAAAACTAAATTCTCAGGACCCAAACTGAGATATTTTGATTCACTATGCCGAAAGTGAAGTCCTAAAGCTCTATGTATTCAAAAGGCTCCCTGGGTAATGCCTGTTTCAAGGGTAATTTGATTTTATACATCATTGCCTTTGAGTTCAGAAATAGAAATCAGTAAATTAAAATGGACACTTTATTTAGTTACTTCACTTTTCATCAAGTGCACAAAGTTTAAAAGAAGCCTTTGTTACATACTGTATAATTCCATTTGTAGGGCATTCCTAAGAACAGAAAGCAGGCCAGTAGTTGTTAGGAGCTAGAGATGGAGAGAGGGGTTTACTACGAAGTGGTACAGGGGAATTTTGGGTTGTGATGAAACTATTTTATATTTTGCTTGCGATAGTGGTTGAGCATCAACTTATGAACCAGGAGGTCACAGTTCGATTTCCAGTCAGGGCACATGCCCAGGTTTCAGGCTCCAGGTTCGGGCTCGATCCACAGTAGGGTTGTGCAGGAGGCAGCCCATCAATGATTCTCATCATTAATGTTTCTTTCTCCCTCTCCCTCTTCCTCTCCCTCTCCCTTACCCTCCTTCCCTTCTCCGAAATCAATAGAAAAAAATTTTTTTAAAAGAATAAGCAGGAAAAAAAGGTAAATTTTACTGTCTATAAATTACACTTTAAAATGGGAAAAAGGAACCTTTTTAAAAGCTTTTTATTTTTTGTATTTATGTTTAAATCTATATATGTTAGCTAATCTATATCTAAAACTATACATAGACAATTACTGATGGTTTGTTCAGCAATTTTCCTAAAATTTTAATGTAAAATCACATGAAATATATTGGGGAAAAATATCTATTCATGCTTACTCCTTTAGCTAGTCATGGCCTCAAATAAGTTATCTCTTTCATATATGAGGGGGAAAAGCTTTATGGAATTGTTAAAACACCTTTGAAGTCCTAATACTTCACTGTTGTTCTTTTCTATGCTCTTGATTGTGTCCTCATAGTCACTGCAGAGTTAAATATTCTTGGTCTTTTGATTATTTTTAATGCCGAAAGGACTGCCATGTCAAAATGAGATGACCCAAGGCCCAGACTGCCCTTGGCAAACTTTCTAATAATAAAGAAAGAAAGGTCAGATTGTCTTTAAAGAGACATTTGAAAAGTGCCTTTGAACTTTGACATTATGAGATAGTCTTTTTAATCATTCTATTTATGGCCTTTAAATGAATGTAGAATGTTCATTTATCTCAGAAGACCTTTCCTGCATTGTCTAGTAATTTTCCTCTTGTAGATATGGGATCCTTCGGTCATTTATAGGGAGTTAAAGGGAAAAAGACAAGTGGCTTTAGCATTTACTTCACCAATGGCCATGGAAGAGACATTGAAATAGGCTATCAGTCTACAAATCACAGCCTGCTCTCAACATCTTGTAAATCTTTCCTTAACCTTTCATCATTTAACATCTTCATTATAGATAATGTCTATTGGATACCTTAGTCCTCTGGATAGCGCCTGTGGCTTCATTTACCAATGTTTTCGGGTACCATTTCAGTTCTGATGAACTCTTGTTTAAGGCTTGCTGAGTTTTATACAGTCCTTGAAGACTTTTCTAAAAACCAGTTTTGTTGCTGACTCATCATTTCTGTTTATTTTCTTATGTGACTAACTCTTTTGTCAAGGCCAGTCTCCTCTTGGTCTCCATGTAAGTAATACCAAATCCTTAAGCCCTGGCCAGGTAGCTCAGTTCATTAGAGCATCGGCCTGATATGCCAAGGTTCTGGGTTCAATCCCAGGTGAGGGCACATATAATAAGCAACCAATGAATCCATAAATTAGTTGTTTATTGTATGTGGAACAACAATAATGTTCCTCTCTTTCTCTCTCTCAAATCAATAAATAAAAAATAATAAATAAATAAAATCCTTGACAATTCCATCAGTGATAAGATTACCATGATATCATGATGGGCTTCTTCCACTGATAGGGGGTTCTGATTGTTAGAAAGGTATGTTAGAAAGGCAATTGAATTACATTCCTACAACTTCCACTTGTTTGTTCTAAATTTGTCCATTGGCAGTCATTATTCTTTGATTAACTTTATTTCTTCATTCACCAGCCACATATTCAGTACCTACTCTGTGCTGGGTACTCTGATAGGTAATGGGGCTATAGAGACTTTAAAAAAACAGCAGTCTCAGTCTTCAAGGATCTCAAGGCCAATTTATAGGGGTAGGAGTAGGTTTGGAATATAATATAAGCATAACCAGATTTGCCAGGCCTCCAGACCATGGCTATAAAGTCCCATTAACAGTGATAATGTATACTTGGCTGTTTGGTCATTTTCCCCTTATAGTTTAAGACCCACAGTCCCTTGCCGAAGCCACTCTTGAAGTAGTTCTGAGAATCCCTGAGATTAAAAATGAAAAACCAGTTTTATTGCTAATTCATCATTTCTTCCAAGTGCCTACCTGTAAGTCCCCTCCCTCTAGACATGGCAGAACAGCATCTGCTGGGTGTGGGCTTCCTTGACCACTCCAGAATTTTCTGAGCATAACTGGACTCTTCATCAGTGTTGTGTCCCCAGAACTGTCTCAGATGCACTGGTGACATTTCCAAACCTGAGCAAGATTGGGTAATTTATGCCAAAGCAGGAAGAAAGCTCACTTTCCCCACCATGTGTTGTAGTTTGTTGCATGGCCACAACACAGCCCTTTTGTTGAGATCACTTGTACGAGATTAATGGCATCTCACCTGTTGCTTTCAAGATTTTCTGTTTGTAACTGGCTTTCAACAATTTGATCAGGATGTGTTTAGGTATGGATCCCTTTGAGTTTATTCTACTTGGAGTATGTTGAGCTTTATGAATGTATAGATTAATGTTTATTTTAATCAAATATGGGAAGTTTTCAGCCATTATTCATTCAAATATTAGTTCTGCCCTCTTTCCTCTCCTCCTGTTATGCATATGTTCATAGGCTTGAGGTGTCTCACATGTCTTTGAGACTCATCATTTTTATGTATTTCATTTTTCTGTTCCTAAAACTAGGTATTTTCAGTTATCCTATCTTCAAGTTTGGTGATTCTTCCTCCTGGCTTCTGCTGTTGAATCCTGTTAGTGAATTTTTCATTTCAGTGATTATACTTTTCAATTCCAGATCTATTACTTGGTTCTTTTTAAAAATAATTTCCATCTCTTATTAATATTGTATATTTGGTGAGACACTGTTATCATATTTTCTTTTGATATGGTTCTCTTTAGTATTTTTAACAATTTATAATAGATAATTTAAAGTTTGTGTCTAGTAAATTCATCTGGGCTTCAGGGACAGTTTCTTTTGACAGCGTATAGGGTGGGCGGGAGTGGATCACTGCTTTTTTCCTGTCTACTTTCTAATTTCTTTGTACAGCTCATTTTTTTTTTGGTTGAAAACTGAATATTTTAAATAATATAATGTGGAAACTCTAGAAATTAGATTTGTTCCTCACTCACTCCATCTAGGATTTGTTGTTGTTTCTATTTACTGCTGTTTGTTATTTAGTGACATCCCTGAACTATTATTTCTTGTGATGTGGCAACTGAATTCTCTTCTTGGTTAGCTTAATTGTCAGCTAATGACCCAGCAGAAATTTTCTTGAAAGCCTTGAGCCATTAAATCTCCCAGCCTTGCTGAGGGGGTCAGTGTACATCTGTGGAACGCCTTCACTTTTTTTTTTACTGAAAGTTGACCTCGCTTTCACTTTCTACTAACAGAACTTCAAGGTCAGCCAGAGTTGAGAGATTAAGTCCTTTTCAGGTATTTCCTAAGCATACATACAACTCTACTAATGTACATGCCCTTCTAGATTTCCAGAAATATGCCAGAGCTTTTCAGAACCTCTAACAGAACTTCAAGGTCAGCCAGAGTTGAGAGATTACGTCCTTTTCAGGTATTTCCTGAGCATACATACAACTCTACTAATGTGCATGCCCTTCTAGATTTCCAAAAATATGTCAGAGCTTTTCAGAACCCCTAGGAATATTTTATTCTCATGCTTCTTTTAATTTTTCTGGTCAGCTTCATATCAGTTAGCTGCTGCAACTGTTATGCCTGCCTAAGGCAATTGCAATGTTTCTGGGTTTTAACCCCCACAAATGCCCTAGGGACAAACTCTGTTCTCAGTGGGTCAACTCCAAGCCGGGTAGAATAAAGGCAA